ACTTGAGATGCAAAAAGATAAGATAAGAAGTCTAGTTTTCTGTGGAACTGATAAAAATGAAGGGAGTTTATACTTAAAATGAAGTGACTTCATGCTTAATATGAGAACAGATATCTGCCAATAGGCTCAGAAAAAGCAACTAAATTCAAAAAGAAAACAAGTTTCATAACCTGACAGATAATTGTTCTTGTTTTAAGCATAAACTCACTTTATTTTGGTGAATGTTTAAGGTACATTTACACAACATGCAAACGTAAAACTATTTAATGATGTTTAGTTGTACTGAAAAACAAAAATACAGAGGAAGATTTCTTGCAATGCATGCAACATTTAATGCAATGAATTTAAGACTTCAGACTAATTTATGATTTTTTAAGGCCTTAATTAGTGTAATACTTTTTATGACCTTATATTTTTTAAGACCCAGAGAAACCCTGAAATGTAACTGATAAAATGTCTACAGTACTACATTGAAATATGAGTGATATACTTGTTATTTGCACATACTGGGTCAGAATAAAGTTGCTTCTGAATGGGCATCAACCAGCATGGGATAACTCATGCTAACCAGCCAAACCTTGACCCATTTATCCCTCCAAACAAGGCAGCTTTATCATCATCTCTGAATTTCCTGGTGTGGGTTTGATGAAGAGAGGCGTGCAAGTTCGCTCACCTCCTGCAAGATGAGAGAAAATCGTCCGGCGCTGGGCATGGCTTTGAGGAAACAATGCTGCAATCACACCACAGAGAGCTGCAACAGAGGTCAAAGGTCAGAACAGATGAGAGGCAACAGACCGTTGATATGAGTGAGGAATACATTCTTTTGAAAAACAAAGTTGAAGCCCTTGATATGATCAAGAGCAAGACGAAAAAAAGCACCAAAAAAATTGTTGCGTTTTTCTTTTTGGCAATGACATAAGGAGGAGGCACATAAATACAGTTGTCCCAAAAAGTATTTGACTTGAATGGTAATGCATTATATATCAAAATATCAAACCATATTTTCAAAGAAACACAGCACAAACACACATTTCAAGCACAACATTTAAGAAGTTAGTTTTAAATCATACAACAATAAATATGTTGTCCAAAAAGTTCTTCTGGATTAAATTCACACTACACACTTTCATACTTTATAGAATGTACTTTTTTAATGGTTGCAAAGTAATGACTTATTCAAAAGAAGTGCCTTCTTAGAGAGTGTGTTATTTCAGATACAGCCATGATATTAAAATAACTAAAATGGCCATGAAAAGTGAAGTTACTTCTAAGAAAAGGTAATCATTTGTTAGCAGGTGCCATTTGGTTTGATATTTCATAACTAGCACAATGACATTCAATCATTTTTTTGTGTGACTTAAGTGTCCAAACAGAGTATATCTACTGAGAAGACTGAAAATCTCCAGACTTCACTGTTAATGGAACAGACTGAAAGTGCTCACACTGATCCAATAAGAAAGTCTGCAAATGAGATGTGGCTGTACAATCACATTAAAGTAAGGAAATCAAAAATACGCCACAGGATGAAATACACATTGCTTAACTGGGACAGTACACAGGTCAGTTTTATGTGAAGTGAGCAATCGGCAATCTCACATTTACTGCTGAAAACTAATTATATTTACCATGTGTCAAATATGACATATGCCATTATTACAGTCCCAATCAAAAACCAATAAAATGAAGAAAAAATAAATAAATAAATAATGGCTGCAATGAAGATTAAAGCTGGTCTTAAATTCAATAAGAGTCCCTGGCCTCAGGGGTTTTTTTTTGTGCTTACTGAGCAAGGTTACTTTATACTCCAACATAAGATTAACAGTCCTCACCAGAGTCAGTAGTGCTTTTGCTACCCATTAGTTCATGAGCCTTCTATGGTAGCAGTTTGCTAATCAACGGTCAAACAGGCTATTGGTTAACTTTATACCATTAGACACACTTTTCTGAGATGACAACTAGATGGCACTTGCTGGATTAAACATGCAACAAAATGAGGTCACAACAGCATACTGCTAAGTAGTCTACACTTCATACTGTGCAGTATGCAACACAGTACTATTCCATTCCCACAAAAGCCATTATTTTGTGGAGGAATGAACTTGAAAATGCTATAGGTCTGTTACATTTAGTAATCATTAGATTAGATAATTTTGTTAGGGCGATTTTGTACATTTTGACTAAAATGTTAGTGACGTTTGGTAAATACATAAATGTTGCAAATGTTCTCTGTGAATAAAAACTTAATTAAATATACTAATTAGTTTTCTTGCTGCTTCTATGCACATCAATTCCCACTAAAACCCAAAGAAGGAGAACCAGGACTTTTTAATATTTGGCTAGGCTATACCCCTTAAAATGTACATTTTAGATTAGATTAGGTGTAAACTACCATTAACCCACAATTAAAAGAGATCCGATCTGAACTATATTTTAATTCTTGTTTCAGAAAATCTGTCCAAATCGAGGCTTTTTTTGTGGCTTATTTATATTCGACACCACATACACAATGAAGTAAATAAGTGAATTTTAGCAGATGGTGGAGATGTTGGACGTTACCTCATTCATTATACAGCTTTCATAAACGCTGATCAAATATTCCATATTCTTTGTGTGTGTGTGTTTGAAGACAAGCTGAAGAGCGCAGAGGAGCGGCTACAAAGTAAACAAGATCAATCATGTTGCATATGCAAAACGACAAAGCCCAGGGATCATATTTATCAAATACCTTTACAGCACACTGCGGTGTCTGAGTAATATAGTCCATCCATTACTTCACACGTCAGGTTTGGCCAATAAACGACATACAATAAATCGATGGACTATTTTGATAAAAATGCAAATGCACATGCCGCGGATAACCTGCGTGAAAAATGCGTTACTTCAAGGTGCGCCACCGTAAAATCGCGAGATTTCTAGAGATCCATACGATGCACGACCAAAGCTACACAACGCAACTGACATTTACTACACCACAGTAAAGCTTGTGCCTGATCTGTATGCAACTTTTAGTTCAGGCCTGTGAAGCACAGACATCACATGCTAGAAAACATCATTATATTCCAGAACAATGGAAGTGTACAAGTGGAAGTTGATTTCTTCCACGCCTGCTGTGAACACACATCCTCATTGAATTCTCTGCTGGTGTGTTTTGACGATGCTGTGCTCATGGGGAAAACTCATCTGGCATATTTACAGCTGCTGTGTAATTTTATTTATAGGGCATCCTATATGATTTCTGATGGGAGGCAGCCATCTGGTGGTGAAGCTCCTCACTGCATCTACTAAATTAAGGTCACTTGATAAATGATACAAACATAGCCTCCATGTAGGTATATGTGTGTTTAGCTTTGGCAGAGGTTTCCTTTAAAGCCCCAGTATAATGACTTGACCTGTGCCATGTAGGCCTGTTTATTATTGGACCAGAGACATTTGTGGTGGGACAAATCAATTTTTTATCAAGTTTGTCACAACCCACCTTCGTTGCTTCGTATTTCTTTGTGCTTTAAGATGATCCAGTACCTGTTCCTTTTCTCCATTTTGATTCTGATGTTTTACAGTAGCAAAGCAGCAGCAGAAGCCTGTGTGTCACTAATCATAGATCTGGCACATTCTGGTGGACACCCAAGGCAGAAATGGCATGTGGCTTGTTTTGTCTTTTTGATAAAAACATGAAATCTCATCATTGAGCATTAATAGACATGTTTTGAAATGTATACTTTACAGAGGTCTGTAATAGAAACTCACAGTTTGTCAGGGAATGATGCTGTAGTACAAAATGTAGCTTGTGCATTGTGAAAGGTTTTGTTACATAATTGCGGAAAGGCTTATAGCATGCATTTATAGCTGTAATAGGGGGAAGTCGTGGCCTAATGGTTAGAGAGTCTCGTACCGGACTTTTGCTGCTATTGAGGTGGGATATGGGTAAGTTTAGGGACAGGTTTGGTGGTATGGGTAGGTTTAAGGGTGGGTTAAAGTGTAAGGGATGGGTCAACAGTGTAATTATAAATGTAATTACAGAAATTAATTACAGATGTAATTACATGCAGGTATTTTTTTTTTATATAAGTACAATGTAAAAACATTTATGTACACAATAAGTGCATGGTACCAAATGACTAATTTAAATGTAAGTACACAGTTAAGGCCACTTAATATAAAGTGGGACCAAAAGTCTTACCAACCCCAATCTTTTGACTGGTAGAGTACAGTATATGCAGGTGAATTGCCAAGATATAAAACATTGTCTTTTGTTTTGGCTACAGATTAGACATTAATTATTCAATAATGCAATTTTGTTTAACTGGTATCTGTGGGGTAAAGCCTGCCAGATCCTTCAGGGTAAGTGCCTCCAATAGTGAGCTTTGCATCCAAATTCAGGAAATGTTAAATATTATAAAATTATGAAAACGCTCAAAAATATTGAAAAATATTAACCCTCTACCGCACGCATTATGATAGACCTATAGAAAAAAATATTTGAATCTTTTTCTTTTCTAAGAATGGCTTAACTTGAAGTGCTGTAAAAAAAATTTTTGAAAAAAATATTATTTTAAGGTACTTTATGATATGTTGCCATACGGCAACAGCATACAATAGTGGATCTAACTTAGAATAAGTGTAAGCTTACTTATAATTAATATTTTTCCTCAGAAATGTTGTTTGTGTTGATTCAATTGGTGCTATTATAAGCTTTAACACAGTACTTACTTATAATTGACACCTTATACATACTTTCCAACAACTTGTGCTTTTATTTATTCTATTCTTTTTTTGCTGAATAATGATTTATAATTGTTTTAATTTCATTACATTTTTCATGAATATTATTTAAACTGCAAATTTATACAGTTAAAACAAATATAATACTGTATATAATGTATCATAAAACACTGACATAAAACCAAAAACATTGCAGTTCATGAAAATTCAGCATTATGCAATCTCTTGAGAGGAAGACTATGAACATGAGCCCCCCCATAATCCTTGAAACTTCACCTTTTTTATGAATGAAAATTCACGAAGCATTTTTTTTCAGAGGTGAGGCACAGGTACACCTCACATTTGGTGCACTTCACCCTAACAATACCCTTACAGCCAGGATACTTGCATCTGCCTTTCTGAGACACCATGGTAGGCCAATGGTTGGTCTGGTCTAGTCGTACTGGCTGCGGTGGCAATGGGAAGGCAGGTCTCCGGTGTTTTTTCCCATCCAGAGCTGATTCAGTGCTCTGCGAGGGCCTACCTTTGCGCTTCAGCCCACCCTTGTTTTCTTTGCAAAGGCAGTGTGCAATGTCAATTTTAAAGTCAAGCAGACTGAGTTGTGCATTTTGTGTGAGCCCCACATCCTTGCAGTCTCTCCGGTAGAGCAGCCAGCTTTCCACCACGGTCATGTCCATCATATGGAACACAATGCGGTGGTACCACTTCTTTGAGCGGATTTTGGTGCGGTACAGAGCAATGAGAGAATCCAAGAGATCCACCCCACCCATGCTTTCGTTGTAGAGTTGAATGATATTTGGACGCGTCACTGTAATGACCTCCTTCTTCTTCTTGTCCCACCGCTTCACAGTTGAGGTTGGAGTGGCTGCTGCAAATGTGCTTAGGAGGATAACTGGGCGGTTGTCGAACCATTTCACTGCTGTTAGTGCTGTACCGTCATGTGTGGTCTCTTTTTCTTCATATGTTCCACGTCTGTAGGTCTTCATAACCTTGTCCTCTGTGAAGGTGCATCCAGCAAGACGATTTTGTCTTACAGTTCCCACACTGTGGATCCCTGCTTTCTCAAGCTGCACCTGAAGATCAACACTACAAAACCAGTTGTCATAAAACATTCTGTGGGACATATACATCGGCACAATTGAGGCCAACTTCAAAACAATATTTCCGCTGGCCCCCAGGTCTGGAAAGCCCTCCACTGCAGCGATTGGACCAGTGTAGAAATCAAAATTGTAGGCTATGCCATTCCCATCACACAGCACGAAGATCTTATAGCCCCAGCGCTTAGGCTTCATTGGAATGTACTGCTTCAGCTGGCTTTTACCTTTGAATGGTATAATCTGCTCATCAACACACAGGTGCTCATCCATTGGGATGTGATTAAAACTCTCCTGTAAAGCTGTTAGGAGTGGCCTCACTTTGAACAGCTTGTCATAACCTGGATGTCCAGCAGGCACCTGTTCGTCGTTGTTGGCAAAGTGTAGAAAGCGTTTGATAGCCTCCCATCTTTTCATTGACATTGTGTCAGCCACACAATCCACTCTTGTCTTTGTGCTCCAAAACATTCGGGTGTGTGGCAGGCCATGTACAGACATGTGAAAGCATATGCCCAGGAACTGCTCCATCTCTTCAAATGTGACATTCAAGGGCATGGTTGGGTCACACTGGATGGCGTAGAGATTGCTCTGGAACACCATCTCTTCAATGATGTTTCTGCTCAGAAGACACCTGAAGTATTCAATGGGCTCCTTTACATTGCCAGCATGAGGGAGGCTGCCCTTCCATTCCGGAACAGCAGCAGTGCTCCTCTTTTTCCTCCATTTCAGGTTCTTCGTCTTATGGAAGGGTGGGCACAGGGCAGCTCTAACTTCTTCTTGATCTAATAAAACATAATCAAACATACATTAATGTAACATGTAGGAAGCTATGGATGATTCGATGGATGATTCGATTTCTAGACCTCTTCTTTTACCTAACCCATGTCTCTTTTACCCCACCACTCTGTTCTTTTTCACCACCCCAAGTACAAACCTACACACACACACTCATGAACACACACACACACACACACTCACGAACGCACTCACAAACACACAGACTCACGAACACGCACACAAACACACACTCACGAACACACACACTCACACACAATATTCTCTATAACAATAGACAGCCTTTCTGTACCTCTCTCTTCTGTTGTTGGCACGATTCCCTCTTCAGCCTCAAACTGCAGCTCTTCATCTGCTGAAAGGATTAAAAAAAATATTCAAAACAATACAGTGTTTGTTTTAACAGATAAAATACAGTAGGTCCAATAAATATTATAATTAATAAATAACAAGTCTAACTCATCCAGATGCATCAGAATAATGTAGCTAACACTGTTTACTAGACTATACCTGTCCTGTCTGCCTCTGAGCTAACTTACCTGAAATGTCTCCATCACTGCTTTCATCAACTGTCCAATCCACATCATTCTCATGGTCACTAAATCCTATCTCATCCTCACTTTCATCTGCAGGAAGAGCCAGTTCTGTCCTTTTCTTCTTTACCTTGCCATAAAATATGGCTGTACTCACTGACATACTGTTACCTGTATTCATATCTAATCAAAAGTAATATTGCCATTTAAATTTGATTTTATCCATAATACAAATAGCATTAACATACGACTAATCAACATTATACCACTAGCATTAATGTTGTTATTGTTACAGCTTAAAAGATCACTCCTGACCCTGCTAGCTAGCTAAACTATTGCAATAATGTCATTCCACTACTGCACAGTGTTGCCGCTTGGCAACACATACATTTGATCGATTTACCAAAAACTAATTTCATAAAAACTTTTTTGAGTGGTGAATATGTCATCATAACTTACCGGAGGTAATGGTTCCGAATTTTTTGTGGATGTGACACGGGCTGTTCTTTGTGTGATAATTACGTTTTTGACATCTTTCAGAAACTACTGACAAGAGACGGTAGTCTGTCAGAAATCGCGCCACAGAAAAAAACTGCATGTCATGTGACTTAACCAAAGCACATCATTGGCTAAACTAAGGTCTTCTCTTTCCAACAAAAAAAA